GGAGCGGACACTGCACTCCAGTCTGGATGACAGAGTGAGACTCCAACTCAAAAAAAAAAAGAAAGAAAGAAAGAAATATAGCTTGCTTAGGTTGCAGGAAGAATTCTCTCTAGTTTAGGGCCAAGCTTCATGCAATTTTTCTACCATAAACTATGAAAAGTCACAAACATTTTTAAAGCTAGATAAACATCTCTATTGTAACTATCCTACAACAGGTAGGTGTGGCATTAGTGTTCTTTCTTTCATCCACTGCTATTTAATCTGCACAGGTAATTATCAGCAATCCAGTTCACTTCAAACATTTGCTGGGTCTCTAGTAAGTATCAGGCACTATGCTAAGTGTCCTAATATACATTTCTAGCTATTACAATGCATCTGCACTTTCTTACAATGTGGCAGCTGGAGAACTTGGAGGTTAAGAAATTTTCCCAAGGTCACAGAGCCTTTTAACTGCAAAGCAGGAAAGGGAACTCAGTCCTGTCTGACTCCCAAGTTGGCATTCTTTCTTTAAGTAATGTTAAGCGCCTTCCAATACCAATCACATCTTATACTTTTTTACTCCCCTCAATGCCAAGCAGATGGTGAGCCCTTATATATTCCTACCTACCTTCTCAACCGCAATTTTAAATATCCTTCGATATTCCACTCATACAAGATGAGCTTCCCCTCCCAGAATGGTGAGACTATGGATCCTGACCATCTTTCCATTCTGTTTTGGGTGGACTCGCAAGTAGGCATTCCTCAGACATCCTTCTCCCCGACTGAGCGACTACTTTGTTTCGTTTCCGAGGCCAGGAGGAGACGCAGCTGCCACCCCCACCCTCCCCTCCCAGTACCTGTCCTCGAGAGCATCCGCCCCCTGCCTGAGCCAGCCCGACCCTCAGACGTCCTGCACAGTCCAAGGAGGGGACCACTCTCGCTCTCGGAGTCCCCTCACGAGCGGGGACCCGAGGAAGGGGGAGGGGGCGCTGCGCGGGGACACGGACAGCGCAGCGCGCAGCGGGCGTCGGGCGCTC